TCCTCCACCTCGTCCCTGTTCCCACCTGGACCCAGCCTCCCTCCTGCTCCCCGTTCCCCACACCTGCCCTGCTCCGTGCCATGGGAATGCCACCCCTCCACCAGCAGCTTTCCCACACGGATGGTTTTCCCAAAAGCCCCGAGCTGGTGGGTTCCTTGGTGCAGCTCTCCCACCAGCTGTGCCTGACCTCGAGCCGTGCTCTCCCACCAGGAGAACAAGAGCCGGCAGATCCGGCAGTTCCATTTCCACGGCTGGCCAGAAGTCGGGATCCCCGGGGACGGGAAGGGGATGATCAACATCATCGCGGCGGTGCAGAAGCAGCAGCAGCAGTCTGGCAACCACCCCATCACTGTGCACTGCAGGTAAAGTGCTGGAGCAGCTTGGACACCCCTTCCAAAGGGACCAGGAGCTTGGGAGATGGTCAGAGCCCCAAAGCACGTCCTGGATATACTGGGAGAGGCTGGGGCAGCACCATTGGCTCTGCCAGTTCTCCGGTGCTTCCCTTATGGATTGTGCCCTGAGCAAAGCCAACGGGGTCAGGACAGGCGTTTTCCTTCACCTTCTGGTTTCTCTTCCCCAGTGCTGGAGCAGGAAGAACGGGCACCTTCTGTGCGCTGAGCACTGTCCTGGAGAGGGTGAAGGCAGAGGCGATCCTGGACGTCTTTCAGACAGTGAAGAGTTTAAGACTACAGAGGCCACACATGGTGCAGACACTGGTAAGGGCCTCCTGCCGCACCAAAACCTCGGCAAGGGCGGGCTGGGGGCTCAGTGTTGAGCAGAAACCTCCTTGGTTCAAGGTTTTCCCTCTCCATGAGGGAAGTTGTGGATTCCTCATCCCTGGAAGTGTCCAAGGCCAGGTCGGACAGGGCTCTGAGCAACCTGGTCTGGTGGGAGGTGTCCCTGCCCATGGCAGGGGGTTGGAGATGGTCTTTAAGGTCTTTCCCAACCCAAGCCGTTCTAGGATTCCATGATTCTATGGAGATGTGCCAGGAGGTGTCTGCCCTTCCTCTTGTTAAGTCATCTGCAAGATGATGCTGAAGGCATCAAGCACCTTTTGAGCACTAAGAGGAGCTGTAGAAGCCTCCTTGGAAACATCCCCAACCACAGTCCCATATTTATGGGCTCCAGGAACCTGGAACACTGTCCTGGAGTGGCACTGTGGCACAGCCTTGGGCACACAGGGAGGGTTAGAGCAGGCACGGCTGGATGAAGTCTGGCCAGAGTGGTTTGCAAGGGTGATCAGGGATGTAGGAAAAAACTCTTTTGGGATCAAAATAGGACTTGAGAGAGGAAGCAGAAAGCAGAGAGTTTCTTTTGCTGTTGGCACCTCAGCAAGGAGGGTGGGTTTGGGGGTCACAAAGGAGGTGGGACCCTCACGGGTGGGAATCCAGCTGAGGACACCTGACCAACGCGTGGTCCCAGCTTGCCAAAGAGCACAAACCATCAAATGATGCCTCAGGTGTGGATTTTCCTGGCCTAACACCGTTCTCTTCCCAAATCCCACAGGAACAGTACGAATTCTGCTACAAGGTGGTGCAGGAATACATCGACGCCTTCTCAGACTACGCCAACTTCAAGTGAAGAAAAAAAAACCAACAAAAACCAGGAACAAAAATCCACACACAACCCCAAACAAATGACAGAAGAGTTGCCTTCTTTAATATTTTGTAATATTCTGTTTGTTAATATACCCTCCCCCTCAAAAAAAAAAAACACAAACAAAAAACCTATGTGTATATATCTTAACTGTTTTAGAGGTTGGTACCATAAGCTTCATATTAGCTGGAGATTTTATATGTAGCAAAGTGTTAGTGCAGATACTGTTGGCTCCTTTTTTTCCAATGTTTTATTGGGGAATTAAATAGCGTGATGTTTGGATTAATATTGTCATACCATCTCTCTTCTGGAGAGTTGATACAGGCTGTTATTTTGTTTGTAAATCTTTTTTTTTTTTTTTCCTTGAGGGAGTAAAGCCTTTTTAAAAAAAAAAAAAAAAAAGAAAAAGAAGAAAAAGATATCCTGGATCTCATCTGAAAACAAAACCCAAACCCCACAACCCCACCAGCACAAGCTTTTCCAAACCTGCAGGGAAATGGTTTCACATTTTTCTGCTGGTCAGCTCTTAAAAAAAAAAAATGAGGAAAAAAAAGAAAAAAAGCTTATTCTGTGTGTGTGTATATATATAAATATCCTTATTTTTGTATGAAAAGCCAAAAAGTTTCCTCCTTCAGGGTCAGGCCACGACATGCTGCTGGTTTGGAAACTGTAACAGCCACAGTAGTGCCCAAATGTTGGGATTTCAACCCCCAAAAAAAGCAAATGCCAGAAAAACAAAAGAATTTTTGCTCCTTGAAGGAAAGGCCTGTGAGTTTGGGGCCAGATTTTAGACCAGGGATTGGGGCTGGAATGGGACCAGGTGAGCTTCATCCCCAGGTGCTGGAGGGGCTGTCAGATTATTTCTCCTGGCATCCCAAGAGATCATGGAATCATGGAATGGTTTTGGTGTGGGTTGGAAGGGACCTTAAAGCCCATCCAGTTCCACCCCCCTGCCATGGGCAGGGACACCTTCCACTATCCCAGGTTGTTCCAAGCCCTGTCCAACCTGACCTTGGACACTTCCAGGGATGGGGCAGCCACAGCTTCTCTGGGCAACCTGTGCCAGGGCCTCACAGTCAAAAATTTTCCTAACATCCAGTATAAACTTGCCCTCTTTCAAGAAGAGTCCAGAGAGTCAAAAAAAGTCCTGAGGACTAGGGGTGCAGCACTTCTATATTAAAAAACCAGGTTAATTTGAGGTTATTTTTTCTGTTATAAAGGGGTGTCTGGGGAAACACCTTCCTGTTTTTTCTTCCTGCAGTTGGGCACCATGCCCAGGTTAGCTGGGGGAGCTCCATCCCCTCTGCAGGCACTGGGAGAACTGGTTTGGAGTGGAAGCTTCCCCTCAAGGATTTGGCTGGACTCCCCAAACAGTGCTAGGGAGCACAGGATGGGTGGCAGGGCCCAGGAATGGTGACAGCCTTGCCCCGGGATGCCCCAGAACTCAGGGGGTATAGGGTTGAAATGTAGGAAAACATGGGAAAAAAACAGCCCATGAGTCAGAGTATCCAAGTTTTCCAGCTTTTCTATCCAGGCAGGGTTCACAGGGGGGGTTTGGTGGAGGCACACAGGCAGGGGGACCCCTCCAGCAATCAAAAATACCCCCAGCAACCCAAAACACACCCCAGAACTTGCCCTGCTCCATCAGCTGGTACCCCCTCATGAACCCCAGTTTCATCCCATTGCTGATCAACTCCAGCTCCTGAATTTGGGGGACTTTGGGCCAAAGCTGCCAGTGACACTCAGAAATAAATGTGGTGACCCCAAAAGAAAAGAGATCCCTCCTGGGACAAGAGGAGTGCACTCATCCCCCATGGATGCTCCACATAGGGATCACCCCAATAAACCCTTCCATCCCACTGCCCAGTGGGTTCTGGCTGCTTCCTGCTGCTAGTAATGAGGTTTTCCCCCTTTTTTTTCCCTTCATTTTCAAGATCTCTGGATGGATAGGGCAAATTTTGGGGTCTGGGGAGCTGCCTTGACCTTTCGCCACAGCATCTGCCCTGGCCCTATCCTGCATCCAAGTGCAAATAGCAGAGACACAAGCAGCTGCCAGAGATAATCCAGGGCCAGATCCTGCCTAAATCCCCTTCCTGGGCTCCATGGCATCCTTGGAACTGGGAGCTTTGGGCTGCATGGCCATTGCCAGAATCCAGCCTGGATTTGGGGGTGATGAGCCTGAAATGGGGGGACAACCAGGGAAACTGGGGCTGGGATGGGGGAAACTGATGCACAGAGGATTTACTCCCCTCCCTTCTCCAAGAGCATCCCGGGGGCTGCAAAGGAACCATCCGGGCTGGATCCATCCCTTTCCCATCGGGAAATGAGCCTATTCTGGGGGTCCCCACCCTGAGTGATGAGCTGCACTGGGGGGGCAGTGTTCAGACCTCCCCAAAAAAGGGGTGTCAGGGGCTGTCCCGCGGTGCCAGGGAGGGGTTTGGGAAGGAGGAGGCGTTGGACACTGGCACTGAGGGGCCGACGCCATCCCCTGGTCCCCGGGGGAGCGGTGGCGGGCCGACGTCACTGTCACCGAGCCCTTCAAATAGCGGTGCCTGCCTGGGCAGCCACTGCTCCGGCCACTGCTCCAGCCACTGCTCCGGCCACCAGTCACCACTCCGGCCACCGGCACCTGCCCAGCCAGGTGAGGCTGCCCCGGCCCTGGGAGGGGGGTTCACCCCGGGGTGGGTGGTCCTGCTCACCCCGAATCAGACCCCAATAGCACCCATGGGGGTGGGTGTTCATACTGGACCCAAATCCCAGCAGCACCACGGGGTGCTGAGCCCCTCCGGCTTCTCCAGCCCCAAAGAGCACCCATGGGGGCTCATTCCCTCTGGATCTCCATCCCTAAACCCACCCCAGGGAGCACCCATGGGTGCTCACATCCTCTGGACCCTCATGCAAAACCCACCCCAAAGACCACCCATGGGGGCTCATCTCTTCTGCATCTCCATCCCCAACCCATCCCAGGCAGCACTCAGGGGTGCTCATTCCCTCCTGATCTCCATCCCAAACCCAGTCCAAAAAGATGTTGGATCATCCACTCTGATCTCCATCCCAAGACGCATCCATGGGTGCTCACCCTTTCCACATCTCTACCCCCAAACCCACCCCAGGCAGCACCCGTGGGTGCTCACCCCCCTTTGGATCTCCATCCCAAACCCACCCCAAAGAGATGCTGGGCCATCCTTTCCACTCTTCCATCCCAAATCCCCCACCTCCGAAGTGCTCACCCCCTCCTCCCACACAACCCCTGGAGTTCCCATCTTTGCAGGACCTAAACCACCCCACGGGGGCTCATCCCTCCACCCCTCCCAAGCGTCCCCCGACCCCCGCAGCCCTCCGGGGTGCCCCCGGGGCGGGTGCCGGTGGGACAGGGCCCCCTGTGCCCCCGCAGCCCCCCGGCCATGGCTCCCCGCGGGTCGCTGCTGCTGCTGGCGCTGCTGGTGCTGAGCTGTGCCCTGCCCCGCGCCCCCGCCCAGCACTGGTCCCACGGCTGGTACCCGGGGGGCAAGCGGGACCTCCGGAGCCCCCCGAACCTCCAGGTAGGGTGTGCCTCCCCGGTTCATCCCCCTCCAAGTCATTCCCTATCCCATCGGGGTGGTTTCCGCCCCTCCAAAGGTCACCCCGCCCTGGAGTCATCATCCTGCCCCAAGGTTTGTGACACACCCCGGGGTTCTGACACACCCCCCCACCTCGAGGTAAAACCCCTTGCTCCTGGGGTTACACTCCCCCAGGATTATCCTCCCTGGATTTTTCCCGCTCGCAATTACGCCCCCCTCTCGCGATTATCTCCCCTCTGAATTCTTGGATTTAACCCCTCCCACAAATTATCCCCCCCCTGCAGTCACCTCTCCCACCCAATTACCTCCTCTAGGGTTTACATCCACCCCCTCGCCTCGGATTTACACTCCCTCCCCCTAAGGATTTATCCCGCCCCTCCATATTATCCCCTCTGGGGTTTCACTTACCCAAATAATTTTCCCCGAATTATCCCCCCCTCTGATTATCCTTCCCCCCAGATTGCCCCCCCCTCGCATTATCCCCCACCCCCAGATTACACCTCCCCGTGTGTTCCTCTCCTCCGGAATTATCATCCCTGGGGTGTGTGTGTGTGTTACAATTCCCCCTTTCCCAATTATCCCTCCCCCAAAATTACCCCCCTCCGGGTTATCTCCCCCATAGAGTTACACCCCCCTCCCTTACTATTCCCCCGGGGTTACACCTCCCCAAATTATCGTCCTTGGATTATTCCCCCCTCCCACCTCGGTTTATCCTCCCTGGGTTACACTTCCCCAAATCATCCTCCCTGGATTATTCCCTCTCCTCGGATTATCCTTCCTGGGTTATACTTCCCCAGTTTATCCCCCCTGGATAATTCCTCCCTGGGATTATCGCCCCCCTCCCCATTATCTCCTCCCCCCGAGTTACCCTCCCATGTTACCCCCCCTCCCCCCGCAAATTACCCACCCTGGAATTTTTTCCCCCAGGATTAACCACCCCCGGGGGTGATGCCCCCTTTTCCCCCTCATCCCGGGGGTCCCCTCTCTCCCCCTCCCACGGTCGCTGTCCCGCAGGTCCCGGCCCCTCTCGGGCGCTGCCGCCCTCCCCCGTGTCCCCCCCGTCGGGAGGAGCCGCTGCCGGTGAGCGGGACCGGGGCTGGGGGGGACTCGGGGGGACCGGGGGGTTCCCCGGGACCGGGACTGACCGACCGCCCTCCCGCAGGGGCCCGCGCTGCTGCCCTGACCGGACCCACCGACCCACGCGGGAGCGAGCCGGGACCCCCCCGCGGGGAATAAAGGGGCTGGGAGGAGCTGTGCGGAGTGATGGTGCTCGGGGGGGGCGGTGTTTGGTGTGGCGGGGTGATGGGGGGACAAGCGTGCGTGGGGTGGGATGTGTCCCGCGGGGATGCCGTGTCCCGTGGGGGCTGTGCCCCCCGGGGGGGATGTGTCCCGTGAGAGGACGGGTGTGCGATGAGAGGGGGTTGTCTCTCGCAGGGGGGGGTCTATGTGCCGTGGGGATAACGAGTGTCCCGTGGGAGATGTCGTGTCCTGTGGGGATGCTCCGTCGTGGGGAGGTGCCGCATCCCCACGCGGGGAATTCGTGTCCCGTGGGGGGCCGTGTCTCGGGTGTGTGTGGGTGCAATAAGAGGGGGTTGGGTCTCTTGGGAGGGCTGTGTCCCGTGGGGTGCCGTGTCCCACGGGCGGGAGGTTCGTGTCCCATAGGTTCTTGTGTCCCACGGAGGGTGCCCGTGTCCCGAGCACGGGGAGGGCTGTGTCCCGTGGTGTGTTGTGTCCCGCTGATGTCTGTGGGATCCGTGTCCCGTGCATGGGGATCCGTGTCCCGTTTGCGCCGTCCCACTGGTGGGTGCGTGTCCTGTGGGGGTGTCCGTGTCCCACGGGTATCCGTGTCCCGTGGGAGGTGTTCCTTCCCCGTGGATGCCCATGTTCCACAGGTGTCCCTGTCCCCTGGGGAGGTGTCCGCGTCCTGGGGGAGTGGGGTTCGTGTTCCCCGGGGTTGTCCGCGTCCCGTGAGGATCCCTGACCCACGGGGGTCTCTGTGTCCCGTGGGGTGGGTGCGTATCCCGCGGGGGTGTCCTTGAGGCTCGAGTATCCATGTCCAGTGTGGGGGCGTCCGTGTCCTCCCGGTATCTGTGTCCCACGGGGGAGTCGGTGTCCCATGGGGGTGTCCCTGCTCCACGCGTGTCCCTGTCCCACGGGTGTCCCACGTGTACGTCCATGTCCCCCGCGTATCTCTGTCCCACGGAGGGTGTCAGTGTCCCGTGGGGGTGCTCCTGTCCCGTGGGTGTCCCTGCTCCACAGGTGTCCCTGTCCCTCGGGTGCCATGTCCCTTGGGTGCCCGTGGGTACCCATGTCCCCTGTGGAGGTGTCCCTGTCCCATGAGGGTCCGTGTCCCAC